TTTTTGATGTTCTAAGAAATCTTTGCCTGCCTCATGGTCATGAAAATATTTTCCTACATTTTCTTCTAGAGGCTTGATAGATTTAGCTTCCACATTTAGGTTGATCACCCCTCAAACAATTGATTTTGTATTCTATATGATTGTTTAACACAGAATTTCCGTAACATTTCTGATGTAAAATCTATTTCCCTATATAGCACCTATCTCCATTTCAAGGAACTAACATAATGTACACTGATAAATGACTGTTTCATAAGAGGAATCAGTGTAACTAAATATGTTGGGATACCATCAAATTCATTAATTGCAATCTGGGCTCAGTGAACAAGACACAAAAGGCAGTAAATTAAAAAGAGGTTGTACCATCGGCCTTTGACAAATCTGACAAAAACAAGCAATGGGGAAAGGATTCCCTATTTAATAAATGGTGTTGGGAAAACTGGCTAGCCATGTGCAGACAGCTGAAACTGGATTCCTTTCCCTATACCTTATACAAAAATTAACTCAAGATGGATTAAAGACTTAAACATAAGACCTAAAAATATAAAAACCCTAGAAGAAAGCCTAGGCCATATCTTTCAGGACATAGGCATAGGCAAAGCCTTCATGACTAACACACCAAAAACAATGGCAACAGAAGCCAAAATAGACAAATGGGATCTAGTTAAACTTAAGAGCTTCTGCACACCAAATGAAACTATCATCAGAGTGAACAGGCAACTACAGAATGGGAGAAAATTTTTGCAATCTCTCCATCCGACAAGGAGCTAATATCCAGAATCTACAAAGAACTTAAACAAATTTACAAGAAAAAAACAAATGACTCCATCAAAAAGTGGGCAAAATATATGAACAGACACTTCTCAAAGAAGACATTTATGTAGCCAACAAACATATATGTATATAAAAGCTCATCATCACTGGTCATTAGAGAACTGCAAATGAAAACCACTGCAATGAGATATCATCTCGTGTCAGTTAGAATGGCGATCATTAAAAAGTCAGGAGACAACAGTTGCTGGAGAGGATGCGGAGAAATAGGAACACTTTTACACTGTTGGTGAGAATGTAAATTAGTTCAGCCATTGTGGAAGACAGTGTGGCCATTCCTCGAGGATATAGAAATAGAAATACCATTTGACCCAGCAATCCCATTACTGGGTATATATGCCCAAAGGATTATAAATCATTCAATTATAAAGACACATGCACTTGTATGTTTATTGTGACACTGTTCACAATAGCAAAGACTTGGAACCAACCCAAATGCCCATCAATGATAGACTGAATAAAGAAAATGTGGCATATATACACCATGGAATACTATGCAGCCATAAAAAAGGATGAGTTCATGTCCTTTGCAGGGTCATGGATGAAGCTGGAAACCATCATTCTCAGCAAACTAACACAAGAACAGAAAACCAAACACTGCATGTTCTCACTCATAAGTGGGAGTTCAACAATGAGAACACATGAGGATACAGGGAGGGGAACATCACATACTGGGGCCTGTGAGGGGGTAGGGGACTAGAGAAGAAATAGCATTAGGAGAAATACCTAATGCAGATGACGGGGTGTTGGATGCAGCAAACCACCATGGTGTGTGAATACCAATGTAACAAACCTGCATGTTCTGCACATGTATCCCAGAATTTAAAGTATAATAATAAAAAAAAGAAAAGAAATAAAATTAAATTTAAAAAGGTGATAGTAGACTTTGACATACTTGGGAGAAAACTATTTTCAATGGAGCTTAAAACCCATAAATATTCAAAACACGGAAAATTGTCAACTATCAACTAACATTTCTATCAACAAACCAGGCCCTGATCAATAAGATGAATACCTTATTTGTAAGAGCTTGTGGGACAAAGGCCATGCTTCAGTCGTCTCTCTTACTCACAGTACCCAAAACAGTTCTTAAGACTTAACAGTGTTTAACACTCAATAAATACATTTGCAGTTGAAATCCAGTAGTTTATAAAGGATATACATCAAAGTGTTAAATTATTCCTTTGATGATAAGACTACAGTTTACTTTTATGTTCACTTTTTTGGTCTCTATTTTGTATTTCAATAATGATTACACTACATATGGTTTACTAAAGAGATCAAGAGATAAATATGTATTATTTTATTGTACTTTGTATCTTTTTTGCATTTTAGGTTTAAAAGTGATCTTTGTTTATAAGAACATAAACAAGGAAAGCTGCTTAACATTCTAAAGGGAAATTACCTTTAAATTATAAAATGAACTTCCTTTAAATTTAAAAAATATTTATATTTAAAATCCCCCCTTGGGAAAGATTATTAAGTCTCTATAAGGAGAAAAGAGGGAAGGTTTAGTCTCATCATTTCTTAAATATTTTTCAATTAAGTAATTTAATATTAACACTAAGACCTTGGAGGTTGTGCTTGAATTTGAGAAACTAATAATTAATGGAACTAATGACCAGGAGCCATGATGAGAATGCCTACAGGCAGCAACAGCAGGTAAGAAAAAACATAACTGAAAGCTTTATAAAATAGGTTTGAGGTATTGTTTACTGGTAGTTGAGAACAACTGAATATTTGGTCTGCTGCTCCAATATCTAATTTACCTTGAAACATCAAATACTTAGCTTCTAAATTGTTGGTTGAAGAACACCAATAGAAGTAGCTCATTAAAATTCCCCATCTTAAGGAATTTCTTTTAACAACTGAGAATTTGTTTTTAAATATTTATAATCTACAGGGGGTCTAATCAAGGATAACCAAATCATGGGCTAGTATGTTTTTTTGTGTTTAATTTATCACTGAAACTGTTATGTCTTTTCAAATACTGTTAGGTTTGTGGGGTTTGTTGGTTCATTTGTTGTTTTTGTGACAGAGTCTTGGTCTGTCGCACAGTCTGGAGTGCAGTGGCACGATCTTAGCTCACTCCAACCTCTGCCTCCTGGGTTCAAGTGATTCTCATGCCTCAGCCTCCTGAGTAGCTGGGATTACAGGTGTGAGCCATTGTGCCAGGCCTGTGTTTGCTTTTTTGTTTAGACAGTTCATATTTTACTTGTACTAACTGCAAAACCCTAAACTATCAGACAATACAATAGAGAGGGAGAGCTCACAGTAAAACATCGATTAAGATGTTGTGATACAGACAAGTCCTCACCATAAATGAAAATTTTACAGCCATATATGAGAGGATTTCTTTTCCCCTCAGAATGTGAAGCCGTTTTCCTTACTTATTTTCTTATAAACAAAGCACACTCTTAAATCTACAATGAAAAAAATATATAGCATGCAGTAAAATGATATAGATTTTCTGTTGTTCTGTTTTGTAAACTATATGTAATGCCATCATTGTTGGGATACCGAAGTGGTTGCTATTTATTGTTTTGATTAACATGAAAAGTGAAAGAGAGAATACTTTTAGATCTGAAAGGAGCATTGCAGATGAAAGACTTCAGTAATTGCTCCAGCAGACTGCAGAGGGCTAGTTTCACAGCAAGAAACTTTAGATAATCTGGCAAAATGTTTCATTCATATGACCTATTTGATTAGGGGTGTGGTAGTTGGGATCTGCTGGGCCTGGGGTGAATTTCTCCCTCATAGCCTCAGCCTATGACAGAACAACCTCTTCATGCCCTGTGCTCTACTGTGGAATTTGTGGTCCTGCCCCTTCGGTCAAAGCCATCTTAAAATGGCAAGAATAGCAGCAGTACTGAGTCAGGCATTCAAAAGGAGTTGAACTGGCTGGCCCAGGCTGCTGGTGTGAGAGAGAGATGAAGATGTTCTTGTCAAAAGCCCAGCCAGGATCCTGTCAAATTTTATGATCAGAAATGCCCTGCATGCAGCCATACTGCTTTCATCCAATGGAGTGGGTGGGAAGCAGAATCAGGAAGAAAGAGAACACTAAGGACCTGGAGAGTGAGGAGGGCTTTAGCACAGGCCCTCCTTCCTCTGGATCTCAGATCTCAAAACAATCTAGGGCCCATGAGCCCTGAGTCCTCATTTGAGTTCAACAAACTGACCTGAGGGATCCCTGTAAGTGTCTTCCAAATTTTTTGAATACTCTGAAAAAAATACCAGTATCTAGACTCACACAATATTTCTAGCACCAAATGTGGGGCATGGGGGGTTCCCCACACCAAGCAATTCTCCAGACATGGGGGTGGGGTGGGGTGGGGCAGGGGGAGCGAGTGGGGTCCTGCAGTTTAATTCATTCCTGATACTACCTACTGGTTGGGTAGCCTCAGATCCCACGAGTGAAAAGGCTCAGTCCCACAGACTGCCCCTACTTCAAATGCCAGATGGAAGTCCGGGCTTGCCTTACTTCTCACCAATCATCTATAACGTGAGGGTTTCTAAGACCCCCTCTCCCCGCAGGTTTCATAATTTGCTAGAGTAGTTCAGAACTCAGGGAAACGCTTTGCTTACATTTATTAGTTTACTATACAGGGCATAGCTCAGGAACAGCCAGATGGAAGAGATGCACAGGGCGGAGTATGGGGGTCAAGGTGAGGAGGGCAGAACTTCCATGCCTTCTCCAGGTGCCCACCCTCCCAACACCTCCATGTGTTCACCCACCTGAAAATTTACCAAATCTTGTTGTTCAAAGGTTTTTAACAGCTTAAATTCCAATCCTTATCTCCTCCCGAGAGGTAGGTGAATTGGGCTGAAAGTCCCAGCTTTCTATAATCCTTCTGGTGACTGGCCCCATTCTGACACTATCTAAATCACCTCATTAACATAAACTCAGGCATGATCAAAAGGGGCTCCTTGCAAAGAACCAAAGACACTCCTGTCATTGAGAAAATACCAAGGGCTTTAGGAGCTCTGACCCAGTAACTGGGACAAAGACCGAACATATTTCTTTTTACACTACAAACACCTTTTTCGATGATGGAACATTTATGCTTTCAGGGAATACATATGAATTTTAGAAATAACCAAGCCCATTCAATTCTAATCAAGCTGGACCAATAATGACTTTCATTTGGATAGTGTGTTTCATCTCATAAGGTGTTATCACAATGCTTTGTATTATTTAATCTTCAGGACAACTCCTGGAGTAGGTACAGTCATGCACTACACAATGACATTTCAGTCAATGATAAATCACATATGTGACTGTGGTCCCATAAGATTATAATAGAGGTGAAAAATTCTTATCACCTAGTATTTACAATCCTATACTTTTCATCATTATTTTAAAGTGTATTCCTTCTACTTATTATTATTTTTTTTTAGAACTGTAAGCCTCAGGCAGGTCCTTCAGGAGGTATTCAGAAGAAGGCATTGCTATCACAGGAAGTAGCAGCTCCATGTGTGTTACTGCCTCTGAAGACCTTCTAGTGAGTCAAGATGTGGAAGGTGGAAGACAGTGATGTTGATGATCCTGACCCTGGTAGGCTAATGTGTGTGTTTGTGTCTTAGTTTTAAAAGGTAAATAAAATAAAAAACATTAAAAATAGAAAAAAAACTTACAGAATGTATTAGTCTGTTCTCACAGTGCTAATAAAGACATTCCTGAGACTGAGTAATTTATAAAAGAAAGACGTTTAATTGACTCACAGTTCCACATGGCTGGGGAGGCCTCACAATCATGGCAGAAGGTGAATGAGGAGCAAAGTCATGCCTTACATGGTGGTGGCAAGAGAGCTTGGGAACAGGAACTCCCATTTATAAAACCATCAGGTCCTGTGAGACTTCTTCACTACCATGAGAATAGTATGGGGAAAACTGCTCCCATGATTCAGTTATCTCCACCTGGCCCCTCCCTTGACATGCGGGGATTATTACAATTCAAGATGAGATTTGGGTGGGGACATGAAGCCTGACCATATCACAGAATAAGGATATAAAGAAAATATTTTTGTACAGCTGTACAATGTGTTTGTGTTTTAAGCTGTGTGATTACAAAAGAGTCAGAAAGTTAATAAAAATAAATATTTATAAAGTAAAAAACTATAGAAAGCTAAAGTTAATTTATTATTGAAAAAAGAAAATTTAAAAATTAAATTTAGTGTAGCATAAGTATACAGTTTAGTCTACCATAGTGTACAGTCACATCCTAGGCCTTCACAGTCACTCACCACCCACTCACTGACTCACCCAGAGAAACTTCCAGTCCTGCAGGCTCCATTCATGATAAGTGCCCTATATAGATGTACCGCTTTTAAATTAATTATACGTATTTTTACTATACCTTTTTGGTTTTTTTGTTTTGTTTTTGTTTTTGTTTTGAGACAGAGTCTTGCTCTGTCACCAGGCTGGAGTGCAGTGGCGTGATCTTAGCTCACTGCAACCTCTGCATCCCTGGTTCAAGTGATTCTCCTGCCTCAGCCTCCCAAGTAGGTGGGACTACAGGCACCCATCACCATGCCCTGCTAATTTTTTTGTATATTTGGAAGAGACAGGGTTTCACCATACACTACCTTTTCTATATTGAGATATGTTTAGATACACAAACACTTATCATTGTGCTACAATTGGCTTTAGTATTTGGAACATGCTGTACACATTTGTAGCCCAGAAACAATAGTCTATACCATCTAGCTTAGGTGTTTGGTAGAGACTGGAGAAAGAGAAAATCAGTTCGTGGTTGCATTATGGATGCCAATCTGAGTGTTCTCAACTTGGTTATTGTAAAAAAAGGAGAGAAGGATATTCCTGGACTGACTGATACTACAATGCCTCGCCGCCTGGCGCCCAAAAGAGCTAGCAGAATCCGCAAACTTCTCAATCTCTCTAAAGAAGATGATGTCCGCTGGTATGTCACAAGAAAGCCCTTAAACAAAGAAGGTAAGAAACCTAGGACCAAAGGGCCCAAGATTCAGTGTCTTGTTACTCTTCACATCCTGCAGCACAAACGGCAGTGTACTGCTCTGAAAAAGCAGCATACTAAGAAAAATAAGGAAGAGGCTGCAGGATATGCTGAACTTTGGCCAAGAGAATGAAGGAAGCTAAAGAGAAGTGCCAAGAACAAATTGCGAAGAGACGCGGACTTTCTTCTCCGCGAGGTTCTACTTCTAAGTCTGAATCCAGTCAGAAATAAGATTGAGTAACAAATAAGTAAGATCGGACTCAAAAACAAAAACAAAACAAAACAAAAAACAAAATTCAGTGCTCTTTACCCTTTATCAGAGGTTGTATTTTATACTTCTATTTAGTAAAATATGAAGCACCACTATAAGAGCAGTGAAACTAATTTTCATCCGTACTGCATAATCTTGTACCAAAAGCAATTCCTAAAGAGAATTTCCAAAATATTTTAAGCAATGGCATCCTCATTAGCGTGAGTGTGTGTGGTCTCCTGAGAAATAAATGAATGGTGTTCTTAAACTTCCAGATAAATGGTTGGATTTTAAAGTCTCATTATTTCAGTGTCAAAACTGGTAATACTTTAAAATGCTTACTGTATTAGCTTCCATAAAAAATCATTATGCAGGAAAAAATATTGAAGGCATAAGCGATTTAACAGCTGCAAAAGGGAAAATTGCAAAGAATACCTAATGAATGTTAATATAACATAAAACCAGACTTGTGGACTATTTTTATCTAGGAAAAGAAAAAATTTTAGCATAATTTTGATACCTATATGTCTACAGAAGAATGTCATCATTCTTGGACGTTATATGATAGAAATTCCTCTCATATATAAAGAAATATGACAGGGATGTTCTCTAATTCACTTTTTTCCATATTTTTTGGCTTTGGGTCATTTGTTCCATTATACGTTTCTCTTAGGTACAGTGACTACATGTATGAAATCAGCATGCAAGAGTGTTATATCAAGATAAAAGCCTCATATATGTGCCATAATTGGTCATTGAATGACCTGACACTGATGTGTTAGAACGGTTCAAAGCCAATTGTTAAATACTAGGAAATTTTGTGAGCCAGTCGTTGAACTGTTAATACTTGAAATTGGCCGCGGTGGGAGCATTTACCTGATGGGAATCAGTAAACACGACACACCAGGGCTTCTCTTCACTCCCACCCAAGCCAGTTTACCAGCACCCTGCTGACTTGAGGCGGGAGGAACAGTGGAAGGAGGTTGCTATTTACCACCTTACAAGTGTTGGAAACCACAAATTGGGATTTCCCTGTATCAGCAGAGAAGACCAAAGATTATGCCAATGTCTCTTGTTACTTTGGTTTTGATTTATAAATAGAGTTTTACTAAAGCTGGGACAATAAAGCTGTATTTAAAGACATTTCTATCCATGTTTGTGCCAAACAAACATTGGGAGCTACGAAAGAAATCTAAAGTGTTTGTAGTGGATTGTTTAATTTACCACTGCTTAAAAACATGTAAGATGTTCACTATGTGTATATAGCTAGAAAGAAAAAGGAAAGTTAAGACTATACATATATACTTTCTCTTTAAGAAAGAGAAATCATTTTTAGACATATATTTTTGGAAAAGCAGGCACTAAACTGATGATCTCTTAGGAGAGTCGAGATGGAATTAATGGGAATGTTTATTCTCTTAATGTCCAAATTTTCTTTGTTGCTTTTTAAGAAAAATTTGTGTTTTTTATTTTTTTGAGACACAATCTTGGCAAGATCATAGTTCACCACAGCCTCCATCTCCCAGGCTCAAGTGGTCCTCCTGTCTCAGCCTCCCAAGTAGCTGGGACTACAGGCACACACCACCATGTCCAGCTATTTTTTTTTTTTAATATACTTTTTGTGGAGATTAGGTCTCACCATGTTGCTCAGGGTGGTCTCAAACTCCTGAGCTCAAGCAATCCTTCAGCTTCAGTCTCCCAAAAAGCTGGGATTACAGGCATGAGCCACTGTGCCCAGCCAGCATTTAATATTCTTATAACTAAATACTACTTTTAAAAGAAAGAAAAGAACCAAATAATATCAGATAATGTGATCATACTGACCATTTGGTAATGGCCTGTTCAAGGCTAAAAACTTCTCCAGTCCATCATTCCGTTCTTATTCTTCTCAACCTATTTTCATTTCTTAATTGACTTTTTTTTTTTTAAAGATAAGCATTTGTTTCTTGTTGAACTCAGAATTTTCCGTTATTGTGCATGTTTCAAAATGCTTTAAAGTTAGTTCCTGCATTGCATTGAGAGACATCAACTGTACTCTAAGGACTGATGAGGTCTTGCAAGCCCACCACCACTTTCATTTGTTTGTAAGCCCCATGGGACTCCTATTTCCAAGTGCTGGCAGCAGACAGAGCTGGCAAAATTTTGTTCTGACAGACTGCTCTGTTCTTGTCAAAGAAGTCTGTCAGTGGAAAACATGTCAGTAGAGGAGCTTCTGGAGAACTCCAGCATCAGGGGCACTGGTTTGTTATTTCTGGCTTGGCCATAGAATGAACCCTGGGACTCATTGGTAAGTCACTTAATCTTTTAAAGCCTCACCTGAAAATAGGAATAATACCATGATTCTGTGACTCAAAGATACACATTTTCCTGCATTTTATTATTCCTGAAATGGAATGTGTCTAAATAAATTTGCCAGCTTCCAGGCCCAGTGTGGATAACCCAGTGTGAGACATGAGTGACATTTGTGAATGTAGGTGAACTTGGAGGGTTACCTAGAAGATATCTGTTTGATATCATATGAGATGAGTGATTTGCATTGATAGCATCACACGTTTATTTGCATTTCATGTCAAATAAATCAAAATTTACATTTATTCCAACAAAAGCAAATCTTTGTCTCTAGAGGACTGAAGAAATATTTTCCTATTAACTATCAACAGCCTCTAAGTTGATTATTAAGTTGATAGTCCTCAACTGATGACATACTATAATCACGGAAAAGGGAAAACAATATCAGCAGGCTAATGTTGAAGATTCAATGAGATTAAGCTCATAAAATGCTTAGCATAGTGCCTGGTACATAGGAAGCACTCAAGAAACAGCTTCATCATTGTCATCATCATCATTATCATCAGCAGCAGCACCATACTTTATAACACATTAGTCGACAATCACTTTCCGTAGCCACATTTCATTCACAACCCCTGTGTAAAGAAGGCAGTTAAGTCTGAGGCACCCTGGGATGTTGGGCAAGTCACTTAGTCTGAATTGGTGGTTCTCAACCTTCGCTGAATTTCAGAATTACCTTGTGAGCTTTTGAAAAATATCAGTACCTGAATCCTAAACCAATTAAATTAGAATCTTTAGGGTTTGGGTGCAGGTGTTTGACATGTTATTAAAGCTTCCTGGTAATTCTAATGTGCACTATTTTATGTTAGTGGTTCTCGACCTTAGTTGCATGAGAGATCACACAGCTCAGATCAAGTCCATCAGCATTTAAGGGGTGAGATTTAGGCATGGGGATTTCTTTTCTAAGTAGTGAATCCCAAACATCAGAATCATCTGGGGCACTTGTAATTTAATTCAAACTCATGTACTCCAGTCCCCCAAATTTTTATTTAAGTCTGGGGTGAGGGCCTTACGATCTGTATTTTTAACAAGTTCCCCTGATTTCTCTGGTATAGAGTTTGAGAATTTCCAGTCTGATAAGCCTCCTACCAGGCTCCACCTCCAAAATATGATTGGGCATCATATTTTGATATGGTGTTTGGAGGGGACAAATATCCAAACTATATCAGAGACTGTGCATTTAGCAATCACTATATGCTGTTTACCTGCAGCACCCCACACTGTACCTGGCACACAGGAGATGCCCAGTGAATATTTTTGAATGAATGAAATGCCTGCTGTATTAATCAGGGTTCTCTTAGAGGGACAGAACTAATAGGATATATATGGGATTATTAATTTACACAATCACAACGTCCCACAATAGGCTGTCTGCAAGCTGAGGAGCAAGGAGCGTCAGTCCGAATCCCAAAGCTGAAGAACTTGGAGTCCAACGTTCAAAGGCAGGAAGCATCCAGCAAAGGAAAAAGAGGTAGGCTGGGAGGTTAGACCCATCTCTTCTTTTCACGTTTTTCTGCCTGCTTTATATTCGCTAGAAGCTGATTAGATTGTGCCCACCAGATTAAGGGTATATCTGCCTTCCCCAGCCCACCGACTCAAATGTTAATCTCTGTTGGCAACACCCAAACAGACACACCGAGGATTAATACTTTTTATCCCTCAGTCCAATCAAGCTGACACTCAATATTAACCACCACATCTGCTATAAGCCAAGTATGACACCAGGTTCCAGGGATACAGAGATAAATATGATAGGTAGGTCAGCTCCTGAACAAACCATCTAACATGAGAATATGATTTAATATTTTTAAATATATATTTTATTGTACTTTAGGTTCTGGGGTACATGTGCAGAACATGCAGGATTGTTGCATAGTTATCTACATGGCAATGTGGTTTGCTGCCTGCATCCCCCCATCACCTATATCTGGTATTTCTCCCCATGTTATCCTTCCCCAGTCTCCCTACCCCCTGCTATCCCTCCCCTATTCCCCCCACAACAGACCCCGGTGTGTGATGTTCCCCACCCTGTATGATTTAATTTTTTAAAAAGATAGTAGGCCGGGCGAGGTGGCTCATGCCTGCAATCCCAGCACTTTGGGAGGCTGAGGTGGGTGGATCACGAGGTCAGGAAATGAAGACCATCCTGGCCAACATGGTGAAACTACTAAAAATACAAAAATTAGCAGGGCGTGGTGGTGCGTGCCTGTTATCCCAGCTACTCAGGAGGCTGAGTCAGGAGAATAGCTTGCACCTGGGAGGTGGAGGTTGCAATGAGCTGAGATCACGCCACTGCACTCCGGTCTGGTGACAGTGAGACTCTGTCTCAAAAAAAAAAAAAAAAAGATAGTAACAGAGTACAGCAGTTAACATAATAGGAAGATACAAAACTGAATTGGGCGAACACTAGTTGAGGAGTTCTGAAGAGAGCACTGAGCTGAGACTGCAGATGAGGGGGATCAGGAAAGACTTCCAAGCAGGCCAACACAAGCCAAGTCTAGAAGGACCAGCAGCGGGTCAGTTTCGTGCAGAAGTGAGGTGTGAATGTTCCAGCTGAGCAACAGCATGGACCAGGCACAGAAGCTTGTTTTTTGTGAAACAAACAGAAGATGAATATGTTAACTGTTGGTGG